ACCCTCGACAAACTTGCCCATTTCCATCCCCCTCTGCGCCAACTCACAGGATGCGCCCAGCTGCCAGCCTTCTCCATGTGGGCACCTGAGCAGCGGGGCGTTACCAGAAACACAGTTACTGAGCCGGACCTCGCGGGTCCACTTTCAGGTCATGCCCACAAAACGCGTGTGGGCCTTGGGTGCCGAGTCCCACGCCAGCCTTTAGGCTGCTGTGCTCCACCAAGGTGAGCAGTGGATGCCCAGGTTCAAGTTTCAGCCCTCACCTCTCTCTTCTTCTCAGCAGCATGTGGCCATGGACCGTTCCTTCCTCCCGGAACATGTCCTCCTATCTCCGGTTTTCTCCTTTTTGTCCACCTGTCAGCCTTCACTGCTGGTTTCTCCCCCTCTACCTGGCCTCAGATGTCTGGGTGCTTCTGGGCTCATTTTTAGGCTTAAGGAAAAAAATCTTGGGGCGCCTGGGTGGCTTAGTTGGTTGAACGTCTGATTCTTGATTTTGGCTCAGGTCATGATCCCAGGGTCGTGGGATTGAGCCCTGAGTCAGGCTCTGTGCTGAGCAAGGATCCTGGTTGAGATTCTCTCTCTCTCTCCCTCGCCTGCTCCCCTGTTCTCTCTCTCTCTCTCTCTGTCTCTCTCTGTCTCTCAAATAAATAAAATGAAAAAACAAAGAAAAATGTATCACACTCTCTCTCTAGGAAGCCTAATGCTTGCTGCTGTCTCCAAATCTGTATCTGTAGCTTTGTCCTCTTGTCTGAACCCCAGTCTTAGGTATTAATTTGGCATGTCTGCTGGGAGGTCTAATAAACAGCTAAAACATTTCTGATCCAAATAGATATTCCCCATACCAAAGCCTGTCTTCCTGCCCCCCTTTTCCAAATCAAGCCAGTCATTCCAGGGTCATAAACCAAGAGCCATGTTTCCCATGAACCCACAGTCAGTCTGTCAGCAAGCCCTTGCTCTCTTACCTTCGAGATGTATCTCAGATCCATTCCGTCCCCCTTCCCACACCTGCTTCGGCATCCCTGCACCCACCCTGGTTCAAGCCACCATCATCTCTTGCCTTCTGATTGGTCTTAGACTTCTGATTGGTCTTCCAGAAAACACTTCTCTTTCCCATAGGCACCAAAGGGAACTTCAGACCACATGGGCTAGATTGCACCCCTCCTAAGGCTTCCACTGCAGCAAGGCTAAAACCCAAACTCTCTGCTGTGGTCGACAAGGCCCTTTGCAAGATGGCACCTGCCTGCCTCCATTTTGTCCTCTCTTCACCCACCCATGAGGACCTGTCTAGTCTTGGACAAGCTGTGAGCCCTCACCTACCTCGGGGCCTTAGCAGTAGTGGCTTCCTCGGCCTGGAATGCTCCTCCCCAGGATCTTCAAATGGCATCTCCTGTTTGCAACGCAGATCTCAGTCCAAATATTTTCTGTTGAGAGAGGACTTCCCTGACTACCTTATCTAGTATAGACCCTTTTTCTTGAGTTATTGGCTCACCCTATTTATTTCCATCACAACACTTATTATAATTGGATGCTGAATTGTTTAATATTTGTTTACTTTGTTACTGACTGTCCTCTCTTACTGGATATCAGTGCTATGAGAGTAGGGGCTTGATTTGCCTAGACTACTCCTGGACCCCTCGTCTTAAAAACTAACTTTAGCTCATAGTAGGTGTTCAACAAACACTTGTTAAATAAATGAATACAGAGTTAGACAGGTGAAATTGCCAATATAAGCCTCTGGTGGAAAGATCTGTGCTGGAGATAAAGATTCGGGAATTATTATAAAAAATAAATCTTAATAAGCAAGGTATAGGAGAGAACTTCCTTAATCTGTTTAAAAAAAATCTACAAAAAAAAAATGCAGCATAAGGCTTAAGAGTGAAACACTGAAACAGTCCCTTTAAGAATGAATAAAGACAAGGGTCCCCACCACCACATTTTCTAGACAACTCTGCTGGAGACCCTAGGCAGCATGGTTAGGCAACAAAGAGAAACAGTGTTTCAAAAGAAATAGAAATGACATTATTTGGACACATTCTTTTTGTAGAAAATCAAAATAATCTATAGATAAGTGATTAATTTAGAGTTTAGTGAGGTTTCTAGATTAACAGACAAATGTCAGTGGCTTTTTAAAATAATTTTTATAGGGGTACCTGGGTAGCTCAGTCAGTTAAGTGTCTGATTCTTGATTTTGGTTCGGGTCATGATCTCATGAGTTTGAGCCTCGTGTCGGTCTCTGTGCTGACAGTGTGGAGCCTGCTTGGGATTCTCTCTCTCCTTCTCTCTCTCTGCCCCTCCTCTGCTCTCTTTCTCTCTCTCAGTAAATAAATATTAAAACAAAAAAAAGAAAGAAATAAAATAATTTTTTATATATGAGGAAAATGCAGACTATGTCATTATCCTATGTTTACCTCTATATATAAATGAAAACGTCTCATCACAAAACTCACTGTGAGACTGTGAGCACTGAGTTAAAAAAGAGAATACACAATAGACATAGCAAGGCCTGTTATAATACCTTAAAATACCAGATGTAACAAGAAAGTCCTACAAATATCCAAGAAGAAAAAAAAAATAGGTCACCTAAAATGGAACAAGAATCAACAGCATCACTGAATGCTAGAAGACAATGAATCAATACTTTTGTATTTCTGAAGACAAATAATGATTTTAAACATAAAATTCTATACCCAGCTAAGCTGGCATTAAATTATAGATGTTTAAAACTTTGGCATTTTTGGACATATAAGGACTTGGAAATTTTGCCCTATATATATTCCTCAGAATTATCTGAGAATATGCTCCAGCAAAAGAAAGGAGTAAACAAAAAAGAATTACACTTGAGATCCAGGATGAAGTAGATCGAGCCCAGAAGAGTGGTCAAGGAGAATCCTAGAAGACTTCTATATGGCAGGCATCACTCAATGCAACAAGCCCAGATGAGGGGGGTAATACAGTCTTCCAGAAGGGAGATTTCTAAGAAAAAGGGCTTGATAGAATAAAGTAACAAGGGGTGGGGTAGGGAAGGGAAGGATATTGATTATAATTAAGATAGCACAAGAAAAATAAGCATAATTAGAAACCCTAGGCCACAAAAAGTCCATGTAAGGAATAAATGTAATTATAGTCCATTATAGTCAATATTCATAAACTCACAACAGTGTAAAAACTATTGATTGATATAACAATCATTGATATAAAAACTGCTCATTGATATAAATTTGATGATTTAATGATATTAGGAGAATAAAGGAATGGAAGATAGCATAAGATAATGAAATCCTCATCAGTTACAGCAAGAATAAATATATGAGGTCTAGACTGGGTAAGTCCAGAGAAAGCACTAAAGCATATTATTATGATTATCATTAGAGAAAGAGAGAGAGTGGGAAAGAGGGAAACAGAGAGGATCTTAGGGAGGGTCCATGCTCGGCATGGAGTCCGAATTGGGGATCATTCCCTCAACCCTGGGATCATGACCTGAGCTGAAATCAAGAGCTGGCCACTGAACCGACCGAGCCACCCAGGCACCCCTAAAGTATATTGTTTAGAATAAATGGAGGTAACTACCAGAAGAAACTGCTAAGAAGAAACTACTAAGAAGAAACTGCCACATTGCATGTGGCAAGCAGGATTTAGGAGTGGGTAAGGGGTAGACAATGTTTTTCAATATAAGTCTTAATACACTGTTTGACATGAACTGTGTGCATTTATTACTTTGATAATATTAAACATTTATTTAAAAAGAAAGATTTTTAGGGGTGCCTGGGTGGCTCAGTGGGTGAAGCATCTGACTTGGTTTCTCGGCGCATGGGGCTCTATGCTGACAGCTCAGAGCTTGGAGCCTGCTTTAGATTCTGTGTCTCTCTGTATCTTCCCTGCTCTCTGTATCTCCCTTCCCTCTCTCTCTGTCTCTGTCTCTCAAAAGTAAATAAACAGAAATTTAAAAAGAAAGATGTTTAGTCCAGAAAGGAGGAGTGTTTTCAGAAACTGATTTTTTTTTTTTTTTTTTTTTTTTTTTTTTTTGAGCCCCTCTGAGGACTGGGATTAGTTCTGGCTCAGAGGGGGAGCCATGCTGTAACTCGGTAGCATTTCTGATCCTGTAGAGAAGGACTGATTCTCCCATCCTACAGCTCTTTACGGTTTATTTTCTCATTCTAAATAGTAAATCATCTTCAAGCCTTCCTTTTTATTCTTTTCCTTGGAGGGAGTCCTTCAAATTGAGTAAACTTCAGGCCTCACAAAACCTGGGTTAGACGCTTGGGTTTGTTGTCCTGAAGGAGTTAGGATTCACTCTTAATGTTTATTTGGTCCTTTGAATTCTTCTTCCAGGGGGAGGCTGAAGACAGTTTTCTTTCAGTAGTTTTTTGCTCCTCCTCTGGCTATTACCGGGAACTCAGACTGTAAGCCTTTGGGGGGCAGGAAGAGAGCTGGACTTTTGCGTGCCTTCCGCAGTCCAGGTACAAAGTTAGTACAGGTTCAGTACTTATCTGTTCAAAACACAGATGGACTCAAGCGCCATTCGGAGAGTTTGGAGAATTTATGCGCGGAAGAAGGTTGCGGCGAAGAGGCAGGCGAAGCGGGCTGAGCACAGCTGCTTTCCCGAAACCCTAGGGCACCCTTCACTTTTGCTCAGGAGACGCCTTTCTGCAGCGCAGTTTGAGTATGTCAGGGTCTGCTAATCTCAGCTGTCCTTACTCATAGATTCCTACTATCTACACTTAGTCGGTTCGTAGTAGGAGATGTGCAACATTTTGTTTCAAGAATCTTTCTGTGCATGCTTTCTGTGGGGGGACTTAACATTCAGTCTGTTTGGGGGGTTTACTTAAAATGGGGCACACCGATAAGTCCGGCTTTGACAATGACTAATTCACACACCACGTGCGGACTGTGGGACCACTGCTGGGTGGTCGCCAACAACCGGCCGTCCACCGTTCCATGCGACCCCTGCGCTCCCAGACCACCTGCTGCAACCTCGAGGCGCAGCCCGGACGCTCCGCGACCTCTCCGACATGGCGCCCGCGGGGCGTCTGCAGGCGGCGGCCCAGGAGCCAGACGCGACAGACCTTCCCAAGATGGCGGCGGCGGCGGCGGCGGCGGCGCGTAGGGGGCGGGGTTCCGCCGCCGGGGGCGGGGCAGGCCAGCCAAGGGGTCGGGCTTGCGGGCGGGCCCCACCGAGGTGGGCAGCCCCAGCGCGCCTGCGCGGAGCGGCCCTGCGCGCAGTGAGGCAGTGGCGGGGGAAGGCACCGGCGGGGCCGACAGGAGGCTTGAAGGAGGGAAGCGGGCGAGCGGAGTCCCAGCGCGCGCCGCGGCCGCCCGGGCGCCCTCCCCTTCCGGGCGTGAGGCGCTGTGTGGAGCCGAGCGGACCCGCCGC